TGAAAGAAGATTTGCTGCGGCTGTGGCTCGACGGCTTCAGTCGTTAGGTAATGTTTAAATGTTTGTCAAATTCGGAAAATCGTGAACATCAGACTTATTTGTGAATTATTCTCACTCAGTTGCAAGGAAAATCTTATAAGACATGTAAACAAATAAGCTGCAAGTATCAGCGGTAATTAGTTTGAGAAAGATGATTTTTTAGTCTGACAGAGGCGGCTCGAAATGAAAAAATCCGAGTACACCCATCCAACAGAAGTTAAAACTTTGATCATTTGTTTACTAGTCCGGCCAGATGCTCTACCACTAAGCTACAGGGGTCACGTGGGAGCTAAGGTCACTAAACTAGCTCCATGTGGCAAACATCCTGCATACTTCTAGGACTAAAATGTCGATATGTAATGATGCAATATGATAAGAGATGTGATGGCACAGGGTGCAAAGAAAATCATTTTTATAGCTTGCCATTCGGGCAAGATGAAGCTAACATTTACTAGCCCAGACATCACTTGAACTAGCCCCAAAAGCTTTTGACGAGCAGAACTGATTTCACAGTTCTTCCTTTATTCGAATTGCTCAAAAAACATCACTTGCCCATCGGGCAAGTTAAAAAGAGAATTCACTATCCCGATAACAAAATCCACTAGCCCCGGGCTATCGGACACTACTTTCTTTGCATGCTGGATGGTGAATTTTGAGCCTGGTGAATACATGAGAAATATGATTTTTCAGTCAGTGACACAGGCGGCTTGGAAGAAAAAAATCCGAGTACTCCCAATAGGCGGTCAGACTTATGACATTCTGGTTACTAGTCCAGATGCTCTACCACTAAGCCACAGGAGACGTTTTGGAGCTAAGTTCATGTGACAAACATCCTGCATGTAATACTGCTAGAATGTCTAAAACTAGTCCTAGAAGAAAATAGTCGAAGCTCTCCATGCGACCACTCTCGTGGTCTAGTTACGACCACCTTTGTGAAACCCCGTTTGGACTGTGACTTTTAAGCGACCGCTCCAGTAAGCGGCCGTGACCGCTTTTGGGATTACCCAAATGGGCTGGGTGGTCGCTTACGAGAGCTTCGACTGTATCTAGAACGTTCTTGTCCTAGCAGTATGCTGGATGTTTGTCATGTGAACCTAGTTTAGTGGCCTTAGTCATTTGTAGCTCAGCGGTAGAGCATCTGGACTGCTAACCAGAAAGTGATAGGTTGTCTTTTGGTTTCCCAGCCAAAAGCATCAATCCATTCAACTAAACAGCCATGACAGCCATGACAGAGCCCCTTTAAGTTTTTGTTTTGTTTGCCTGCAGGTGCACTTACCAAAGGTGACAGACGAGCAGCGACTGGGGCCGACTTAACGCAGTTTAATTTTGACACGCCTTACGGCCGATCTGCACTCAGGAACATGTACCAAGCCATTACTTTGGTATGTCAGATAGCCTGTTTCAGATAATTGCGCAGTCCTGCAGTAAAAAGTGATGCGAAAAATGCACGGAGGCTGGGGAAAGATGGGGCGGTTGGGCAGTCTCTCTCCTATTTTTCCCGCCACTGCTCCTTCCTCAGATCCCGGGCGCCTTATTTTCGCCTGACTTGTTTTATTTTGGCGACGTTTCTACTATCTGAGAGCCCGGCACAGGCTATACCGTAAAATCCCATGTTAAAGCCACCCCGNCTAAACAAAACATTCCCCATTCCGGGTATAAGGCCCCGAGATATACCCCCCCCCCCCCATTTATGAGCCCACCCAAAACCCCTTATGAAGTTATATAAGCCCAGGGCTTTAACGCGAGATTTTACGGTACCGATATGTCAGAAGTGGTCACGAATTAGAACTATGTGTGCTTATTGCTTGTGTCATCTACGAGCAAACGTTTTTTATTTGAACTTGGGACTTTTTTGCCTTTTTTTTCAGCAATCCATTTGTCCCGGAGTTGCTTTGTCTAAGGTTCTGTCAGCAGCACAAATTCCCGACAAGCATGAATTCACAGAGTTTAACTCCATCGCAAGGGTGAGTTTTAGTTCGTAGGTCGCGAACGTGGTTAAAACTCTTATTTTATTTCTTTCCTTAAAAGTGGATTTGGAAAGAAAATTTATGATGTCAGAAACAATTTTGTGTCAGTTAGACAGGGATATTGCTTCATAAAAATTCTGGGCAGCACGCGGGAATGGAGAAAGGATATAGTCATTTTGTAATTACATATGGTATGGTGCGATCAGCAAAAAATGACTTGACAGGAAAAATTAGAAAGACATTGCATATTGGCAACTCAATACCCACCAGCTATTTTGTATTTAAACAGGAGATACATTGGTACTCTGTTTCTTCTTCACGTCTGATAATGAATTTCATTTTTAGCTTATGAAATAAATTTGGATTCAGGGAATGTTTCATATCGACTATTAAGGCCAACAGGCCCTATACTGTTGGTCAATCGTGTGGACAAAATTTCCGTGCCGGAGAGCACAAAAAGGCATTGGGACAAGAGACAAAAAAGGAAATAACCATTTGGAAAAATGTAAGCTCCTTGTTTGTCTTCTCCCATCGCATTTCTTGCTCCTCAGCTTGGCTTTTATTGTTTCCACGTGACTAGTCTAGCTTGCGTCACAGACAAAACTAAATTCTGGTTGAGTCCGTCTGCAAAACAGCGCCGATATCCTTGTTCTGGGCACCCACCTGTGTACCAGGATTTGAGTATGCGCCATGATTGCCATCAGGTTGAAAGGAAAGGTCAGCATTAGAGCCCCTTTCTCCCCTCATGAAATTTACACAAGGTGGAACCGTTTTCTGCTTTTATATCACACTTAGATGATATTTCAAGCTGGAAATGTTCATGAAAGTGCTAGTCTCTTCAATTTCAAAGAAAAAAAGAAATTGATATGAATGAGGATTTGCTGGATGGAAGTGAAATAATTTAAGTACAATACAGCATCAACCCTAACCCAAAAAAAGAACCTAACCAGTTTCGAAACAGTGTGCTTAACCCTAATCAGTAAAGGCAGTGCTTAACCGTAATCTGTAAAAGGCAGTGCTTAACCCGGGTTAGTAAAGGGGAAAACTACGTTGTGTAAATTTCGTGAGGCGTCCGAAGCGGCTACGGTCGATGGGATCTAATGATAACCGAAAGGAAACTGGAAAATCATTTCCGGCAAATCGCTGAATCCGTTGGAGGCCCAGAACAAGGATCTCGGCGCTGTTTCGCAGACATTACCGGGAATTGCCACTAAAAATATAAAAAAAAACCAAATCGGCAAGATTAAATTTACCCAACTCAGCATAAAAGCTACTCTAACATAGGAGGATTTAAGGAGTGTAGTCCAGCATAGGGTAGCAAATTTCAACTGCACTAGCTCTGGTATAGGCTAAGGGTTACAGGGTTCCAGCAGCACATCACCACCCGAGATTACATCTGCGACGCAGGCTATCGGTAGTCCAGTTTCATATCAGTGGTGACTCATGAAGAAAGTCTTTCTCAATGGTTGTCCATTACATTTACCGAGGTGTCCAAATGACTGAATTACTCTCAAGTTTAACAAAGCCCTGTTTTCTTTTGTTTCACAGCAATGTCTTCTGTCCATGGGAGTAACAGACGCTAGTTTCACAGTGAAAGACAAAGAAGCCAGCGATGTGGGAAAATTTCTCAACCGTATTTTGGGTCTTAGTGTGGAAAGACAAAATTTGGTAAGTACAAAGATCCTCTGGTGGATATAACAGGTAAGTTCGAGAGGGAAGTTTCGGGACTACCCTTGTTTTCTAAGTTTTTCTGCTATTTTGAACCCCTGTCGTGAATTTTATCGGTCGATTTCTCAGTCTTGTTTGTATCTATGTCAGGACTAGCCAGCCAAACCGGTCATAATGAAAATGAAATTTTTACTAAAAACCCATCACTCCTGCATACCGCATATATTTGAAAAATAAACTGATCTGTCCGGATAGGCCTGAATAAAAGGGGGGTTCTCCTGGCAGGGGGTAATGGTAAGTGCCCTAAGACTATCTGTTATCGATTTTATTTTTTTGATTCTGTTTCCCATTTCTGTGATGTTCCTCAATCGGTCGAGTTTTAAGCGCCCATGGAATTCGACTTTTGGTTGAGTCTGATATCCAGATTTTACCGCTACTTCAGGGTATGGGGAAGAGGAGATGGCTGACACCACAAACTCGGCTAACGGTATATCTCAGATATAAAACTTTCTCCTCTACGCTGGTAGCTCGCTACAACAGACGCTTCTGCCTTCCCAAGCTCACTACTCCAGTTTACACCCAATTTTCTGCCGCGCTACCTCTCACGTGACCACGCCCCTTGTGCAAAGAAAATTCTATGTGACTGCGTTTTTTGCTCTTAAGAAATGTTTCGTTTTCCCCTGTTTTATTTGCAGTTATTCTCGTACTTTTGTGAGTGCCTAAATGCTGCAATTGAAACTGCAAAGCGCGAAGGAAGGTAAGTATTGTTTTTGTTAGGGACCAGGTAATTTCAAAGAAATTAAGTTTATCACCCCGAAGCGTCGATCTCTCATATTAAGCTTGGCTCTGGAACGATAAGATTCGTGTCGCATGCATCCTCGAAAAATCCGTTGGTCTCGCATTCATACGCTGGACACAAATGAATAACATTGCGTGACAATTCTTAGGTATAGTGAAGGCGTGACAGACGTATCTGGGTCTTCAATTACGATGGTCGGCGCTGCCCAGCCTGTTTTTAGCGACTTTCAAAGAGGCCTCATGGAAACAAAGTAAGTAAAGTAGTCTAAATGAAGATATGACCCTTCGCAGTCGTAATCGCAGCTTAAGCAATTGCAAATTTAGCCCGAAGTTGCCATTATTGTCAGGTCTTAAGGTAGTTCTTCTGTAGTCGAACGTGCAGTCAGATTTTTGTCAAACTTTGCCGACTAGTTGTTGTTTGAAATAAAATCGCGGGGTCCCCATACTCGTTTTGGAGCAGGAGCAACTTGTCAGTGCACAATGATTCCTTAAGATACCAAGGGAGCTTAAGCATCGACAACGGCGATAGCAACGAAAACGTCACTTTAAAAATGAATTTGAGTGTTTTTGTCGTGCTTATTCCAATTCAATGAAAATGCCAAAATGTAGGTGAATTTCTTGGGCACCGCACTCAAGTTTAGATAGAGAAAGAAAAAAATTCGTCCTCGCTTGTTTACGTCCTCCATAAAACGTGAAACTAGCTTTTTCACATCTTAGTTGGGCAGTGACGGCAAAGAAATGTAGATGTGTGATGCACGTGCGAAGTTGTTGTTTAGCTCATCTAAACCTATGCTTTTTTTACCTTTTTCGATGCCGTCGCCGTCGTCATTACCGCGTGAACTTACGAAACAGGACGGGAGAGGGCAAGAAGACGGCAAACCTTGTGTGAAAGGCGTCACAATAATTTTGCATGAAATAACTTTCGCGAAACTTCACTTTCTTTAAAACATTTCTTTTTCTAAAAGACCCGAAAACATTGATGTTAGTCAAGATCACGGCAAAACACCCAAGTTATAGCCTTGTCACGTTCGTCACGCACAAGCGATTTGCCGTCCTCTTGTTCCTGCCGCCTTTTTGCGTAAACTCACTATTGCTAAAACTGCCGACTATGATTATATTTATGAGTACATGCTTTGAACACGTTTCCGACGGTCGTCTCTCTTTCTACGGTAGAAATTAGTCTTAATTTATTCAAGAAGAGGAACGTTACTGCTCATTTTAAAACACGAGAAAAAATAATAGGTGACCATTCTCGTTTACGAGAAAATGAAGATTTAACTCTCTGGGGAGCTCCAGTCTTAAGGCAAAAGCCGCCTTGTTTTAAGTGCGTGCGTCCTGTTATGATCTGTTGGCGCGGGCTAATCAAGCGTGAAGTAATGCGCAATGCAATTCGAAGGAATAACCTGAAATCCCGTCTCATTTATTTTCATTTGTTTTTTCAGACACGTGACTGTAAACGTTGATCGCGGAATAGGCTGGGATTCGGCAGTGAAGCAGTTACAAGACAATGGAAAAAACAAGTTTGACGGGTTTTATTGTTCCAAAAGGGAACAGAAAGGGAGACGGCTTTACCTTCTAGCGATACAAAAGGAGTCTTCCACCCATCTTTTTAACATTACAAGGTAAATGTAAGGGCGAAAAGCTGCTTATCACGCATGTGAACGCCCTAAAAGTTCAAATTTTAGGTTGGTTGGTTGGTTTAAATACCGTAAATCCTCTATACAGCCCTGCCCTCCCTCTTAAATAAGCACCCTCCCCTCTAACGTTTCATCTGGACTAATCCGGTATTGTTCATTAACCAGATTCAGAGACTTAAAGTTGTAATTTCTTCCTGCAAACAATAAAGTACATGCGATTAAGCGTCCCAGGATCTAAGCTCCCGGCGCGTCCAAACGAATTAAAATGAATTCGATTTATTATGACAGTTTGAAGCTTGCTTAAAAACCAGTAAATGCTAAACGTTTCTTGTTCAGCACTGCTACAGAATGTTTCGAAGCGCCTTTTCTATTTTGGTTATAAACCCCTCCTTTTATTAGCTCTCTTAAAACCCCTTAAGAAAATGTATAAACCCAGGGCTTACAAGCGACATATTACGGTTGTGGAATTTCTACCCAAAGATAATTTCCGCTTTTACTTCGTTTTGTTTTTGTGCAGACCAAACACAGGACGGTCTCCTTTTGAAGAAGAAAAAACCGATCTTCTGCACAAGTACAATAGGATTTCACTGGAAGATGCAGGTAAGGGAGGCGGGCCTAGTCAGGCTATCTTTTGTATCTACCACCGAGAAGCCGTGTGAAATCAGAAGTGCTGTCCGCGTGTTTTACTGTGATTTGATTGAAATCTAGTCGCTGCACGGATGCCAGCCCGTCCTAATTTGTAAAACGTAGGCGAATATACCTGGAGCTAAATTCTTAAAAACTGTAGTTATCTTCAAAAGGAGAAATAAAAATGCGTCGTCGTCTCGTCCTCCATAAAACGTCGCTTTAGGGGGTTTCACGTCCTAGTCCTGCAGTGGACGTTAAAGAAATGTACTAAAAAGCGTGGTGTACGTGCAGAGCTATTGTTTTGTTCATAAAAGGAATTTTTTAACGTTCTGGCTGCCGTCATCGTTGTGGCTGCAGAGCTTTTGAAATGAAAGCCAGTAAATAAAAAAATTTCTTTTGTTGTAACTTCATGTTTTGCTAATCGTTTAACAGGTTACACGAAAAGTAGAACTCGTAAAATGTCAAGTACTTTGATTGATCGGGAACTAAATACTGTTGTATACTTTTGATTCATTAGAAGCTGGATGGAAAGCACAGTACGAAAGAACCAGAGATTACTGTATTCACGGATTAGGCTGCAAGACTGGACCTTCTTGTAAAAGTAAGTGAAAACTTTATTACAGTGGTGTATTTCTTAGAAGTCTCCTTAAGCGACCACGAGGAAGTGACTCGACAAAATGATTTAATCCTTCTTTAAAAGAATAACTCCGACAATTTGTTAATGAATGAACGAATAAACTTTATGAACGTGTCAATACAATATCTAGCCGAGGGGAAACCCTCATCTAATAGGAGACGCCTAAAGCGCGATACAATGATGACATTCAGTTGCAATAAAACGAATTTTTTTTAAATTTACAGTGAGCACGATACAATGAAAAGTTATCAACTTCTTAGTGGCTGGCTTTAAAAAACACGTAACGTTGATGGGTAATGCAGTTCATGATCAAGATATGGTCATGCTATCTTTCTTTATCCCATCCCATCCCATCCCATCCCATCCCAACCCATCCTATCCCATCCTATCCTATCCCATCCTATCCTATCCCATCCCATCCTATCCCATCCTATCCTATCCCATCCCATTCCATTCCATTCCGTCCTATCCTGACCTGTTCATTAGAAAGAAAAGACAGCATAATAGCATTCCAATATCAATACCTTATATGGTTACTTGGTATTGGCCATTTTGAGGTTGCG